GATACCACACACGCGAAACCACAAAAGAGTACCGAAGCGGGTTGAATTTCTAGAATGAGGCGGGTCCCATTTCTAAGGTTCTAAGATAGTCGAAGGGAGATTCCTAAGGCTAGATCCTAAACCCTAAGCGGAAGACTAGACCTCACGAAAATTGAGGTCAACAAAGCTCTAAGTATAAAAGATTATTCAAAGCTTAATTCTACCAAATTACACACAAAGAAGAATAAAATGAAATCAGTTCGCAAAATTTGAGCCGATATTCTAAGCACAAAGTGCAAAAATACCAATGGTATTTAGATTCTTTTTCGATTGTTGATCTCTTTAAAGTTAGCCCCACACTATAGCACTTGAGGAAAGAAACAAGTCACTTTCCATCAAACATAAATCCCACCTTGAACTGTAAGGAAGAAGAACACAAAAAAGCTAGGAAAATTTTTTTTTGCCTCAAGCTTTAGATGAAAACTATCATTGTCAATGCTATTTTCAATCAATGAAAAAAACTTATCTCAACAGCTTCGGTTGAGAATGAGATTGGTCATCACTCGACCTCCAAAATAATTCTCTAAATTGGTTTCAAAAGAGTAATCTTTATCGAGTCAGTAGACAATGTGCAAGGCTTATTTTATGAAGTCATTTCATTAATGAGGCAGTCTATGTAAGTGATAAATGTATATTAAGTAGTAATTAGGTAGTTTATATATATGGGATAAGAATCTTAACTTCTCAAAAGACGACACATACTAGTACAACAACAACAATAACAAGCCTTTATCTCATTAAGTGGGGTCGGCTGCATGAATCCTTTCCTCCATTGTGTCATATTGAGTGTCATATTTTTATTTAATTCTAAATGAATTAAGATCATTTTTTATACAATATGCCAAGTCTTATTAAATCTAGCTCTATCTTTCTTAATATAAGTCAAATCTAAAACATCTACTCTCCTAACCGGATCATTAGATTCTCGACCTTTAATATGTCCAAACCATCTTAAGACGACCCTCTCTAATCTTATATGCCACTGTAGCTAGACCAACCTTTTCAAGGATACATTCGTTTCGCATTTTGGCTCTAAGTGTCAAGTCACTCATCCCCCTAAGCATTCTTATCTCAGCAAAACTTAACTTCGTTTTATGCTTCTCTTTTAGAGGCCAACATTCTGAGCCATAAAGCATTGTGGGTCTCACCACCATCTTATAAAATTTTCTTTCAAATTTAAGCGATGCTTTTCTATCACACAATAGGACCAATGCATTCCTCCACTTTAACCAACCAAGTTGTATTCTACAATGCAATACTAGTAAAAGGAAGGAAAATGTATAAACACAACCAACCTACAGTTCCACCTTCAAAGAAGATGGAGAAGACCATCAAACTAGAGGATCCTAAAAAAGGGTCAAAAGATCTCTTCCTGATGAAAAGCACGAGTATCATTTTGGTTGATCAGCATCACATGAAGAAGAATTGATCATCCAAGCAAGAGATAAAGCTAAATTCTTATTTCAGAGATAAATGATCTACAAAATTGTAAATTTGTAATCTATGAAGCTTTCAAAAATATTTACACAATCGAACTTGAAGGAATGGTTTGCAAATAAACATTGAGTGGTGATTTTATAAGTAAAATATGGGGGTGACCAAAGAACAAATAAAGAAGAGATCTTAAATGGAGATCCTGAAACTAACTATAATATCACTCACACGTGTTTCTCCTTATTTTAAAAATTAACCACTTTTTAAATAGGGAAATTGTTGACCTCATTTTTGTAAGGTCTTTTGTTCTCCTTCTTAGAGCCTAGGTTCTAGCTCTAGAA